AAGTACCTCCAAAGTTTCACTGATTTTATGCACATGTAGATAAAGAGCATGTCAATGCCCAAGATAAACCACCAGTACACCACACACCACCTACAACCCCTCATTCCCATCACCGCCAATGTAATACACACTACCACATACATACACCTCTTCCTGCAGAAGGTTAACCTCAGAAACACCCCAGGAACAAAGTGGAATAAAAAGCGTCTACTCCAGTTACTCCCAGTTTTACCTAAAACCTGTCATTCACAACTCCACTACAAGCACCTTCCACTCTTGCGCTAATAGGTGGGTGGGCAGTCAACAAATGCTTCTTTCAGGAAAGTCATAAATGTCCCCTCGACTCAACCAGTCCTTTTATTCCCCCATCATCACTTTCTATAGGCTTCCTTTGAAAGTGGCTCCTGCCTGCAGAGGAATAAGACATTCGATATTCCAAGTCAATCACGATGAGTGCCAAAGAACTAGTGTCAGACGCTGAGGTGTAGACTCCTCCTTGTTGGGATGGTTGGTGGTGTTACCTTAACACCTTCAGGTGGAGTTTAATGCCAATTAAGTGGCTCCGGTTCTTCTGGTTTTCACAATAGCTTAAACTGAAGACGTTTCTCACCACCACAATCACAAAATGTCAATATAACTCTACCCAGCTTCCAACTGAATTACATAACTGCCATACATGAGTGTGGAAGTGGATAATGAGAATGTATTTTAAGAAAGTGATTGAAGCATCAGCTCAGAGTTGAGAGCACTGATGTAAGCAAGTTTGCTCTAAAGCATAGGAACATGTAAAAATCTCTTATTGCTTTTGTACTTTCATAGCAGTTATTCACTGTGTTGAGCAGTGGGGGAAAAAAACAATGAGTTGAGAAATCATTAAAAAAGGTAATTTTTAGACATGACTCATGAGAGTAAACAAAGCCATCCAGATCATAGAGAAAACAGAGTCAGAGTTAGTGTTTGGCACAGATAAGTGAACACTTTGATCATGGTGATGGCAGCTGTGTGTGACGAGACGTCCCTTCTTTTGTACCCCCCACTTCTCTTTACCCAAAATGTTATTGCCTAAGAAACATGCTTCCTGTATATGTGCTCAAATCAACAGGGCCTTTATGGACCTTGAGGTCTTGTATAATAATCTTATCTTATCTAGAGTAGCAAAGACTTGGTTTGTTTCACTAGATAATATTAGCCCTGACTTCCTCTCCTTACAGCTCTAAACTCTGACTGACCCTTTCAAACACTCAAACTCCTAATCTCAAAGGACTAAAGCACTAAATTCTCCCATATACTGAAGTAATTTGCTGCAGAGTTTAGAAATCAGAAAACTGCATGTTTGTCTTTCAGGTTCTGTTGGCACTTACACATGCATACAGAGTCAATTGTAAAGATAAATGCTACCATTTAACAAAGCCTGAAAAAAAGATACTAAGTTGGCTAATTACAAATTTAGTGCAGTAGTAGTAAACCAGTTACAAAGCAAGAGAGAATGGCTTCTATTGGCTACATTAGAGATGTATGCTGGACTGTGAAAACACTGTATGGTAATTCTATCTTTTATCTCCTTTATTGTGCTGATTAGTGCATTCAGGAGGGGGGTGCTCAACCTAATCTGATCAGAGGGCATTGTGTTTGGGATCATTAACCTATGTGAGGTCTTAACGTTGACAAGTCAGCTCCTACCCCCCCTCTACCTTTTTTTATGGAACTCGCTCATCCCTGGGTTCCTCTGTCTCTACAGACAACATAACAGCAACCAAAGAAAAACAAAAGATGAGGGGAAAAACAGCCGACGGAGCTATTTGCATGGCTTGTCAATCTTCCACAAACACAAGGCCCAAATGACTAGTGACCACAGCCCCCGGACTTGCCTAAGCAGCAGGATGTCGGCCCCTTTCGTCTCTGTTGTTGTTGGCTATTTTCTTTCTCTGGGCTGCATCCTAGTCCCAAGAGACAAAGGGTCAACCTATACCTCAACATCTGGGATCTGCATCAGAAAAGACTAGTACCTTATTGCATGGCCTATTAGCAACCGTGCCGGTGGTAAGGCCCTGCTTCATGTAACTGAAATCCAACAAGCTCTATCAGTCAAAGCCTTCTCTTGCCAACCATTTTGGGCAATGCCATGATACCTGCATTTACATCTTTACCCACACTAATGAAATCCAACATCTGTCTAGATATTTACCCATTGACTGATTCATATATTTTCTTCCCATAACCCTTTTTCTATCCCTGTCACACACATTACACATTCTGCAAATCAAAATTGTGACTAGTCTAGCATAACCAACAGCACCTCTTATCCACAAATCCTAGTTAAACTGTTGTGATACTGAAAAGCTGCCTGTCAGGATGGCAGAGCGGAGATGAAAGGCCCACAGCAAAGATAGCTGCTGATTGCCTGTGGAGGATGAATATGCAAATAAAGCAGAAGGTAAATGGAAAAACAAAGTAGGGGGTTTTGGCAGCAGAATTTTACATGTTCCCCTTTATTTGGCATTGGTTAAGAACACGGAAAGTCTATCAATAATGAATTCCAGTCAGAGCAAGGAAGGAGGCATAAGGGGAAATCAGTCTCTGCTTTTCCCCTGTGAGCCCCAGAGCAGTTTTGGGGCCTATTGTATTTCACACAAGCTTTTCAGTAAACGCACACTAAGTTTAAGTGACAGATAAAATGTAAAATTGAGGGAGATAAAACAATATCCATAACACCTCGGTTACATAACACCAATCAGATTGGGTCTGCATGTTTGGGCAGACAGTCCAGAAAGTAGGGCACCATTGCCTGCCAACTGCAAGCCCTATCTATTGACCACAGCAAAAGCAAAAAAGTAAATCAATTATCTGGTCGAATGTCTGTCATGAGAGACAAAAACTGGGCTCAGGACAGTCTGATATTGAACAAGACCAAGTGAACACTTGCCACCACTGCCACCAGAGCCAAAAGGCACTTTACCTAGCACTTAGCAAAATCAAGTGGCTTAATATATTTAGCTATCTTTGCAAAAATGCAAAACAGTAGAAAACAACCTGTCTGTTGTCTAAATACAGTGAAACTGGCCAGACAGACTAGAGTGCATCTTTGGGAAATGTGAGCACCCGTCCCATTGGACAAAAGATGAACAGGGCAACAGATTTTCCCTGGACTTGAGATAACAGAAATCCAACACCCTCGTCCTCCAGTGGGGCTCTTTGTACGTCTGAGAGAGGGTCAATCAGCAGCCGCTGACAGATGTGTCTGCAGTCGATTTAGCAGAGGAAGCCACGGTGAGGTCAGGCACAGCTCTGTCCCCCTTGAGGGAAGACAAGGATCAAGTCAGGATGTCCGAGACTGACCTTTTCTCACCGCTTAGTCTTTGGCATGCAACACCTGGACTAATATGATAGGATAGTTGAGTTAATTAACAAACCTGCAAAACATTAAGCCTATGTGGAAACTTCACAACACAATAGAAATTTTATTTCATACTGATTTGTCTCCAAATGAACAGCATACAGACAAACAATTTAAATTTGTCTAGAAATCCCATTGTGTTTCGAACAAAAGCAAGAGCCACTCCAGCTGGAAAGCAAACAAATCCAAAAAACTCCAGTGGAGGTCTAAGTAGTTTTGGCAGATGCTCCAGGCTTAAGTGTCTGTTCAATTAGGCACTCCAGTTAAGATGGCAATCATGGTTTAACCGTGTGCCGATGTGTTGAGGCTAGAGTTGGAACAAATTCTGTCCTGGTAAAATAACTGGGCGTGAGACGTCACCGGTGGTCAGACACTTAAACAGTCACTCCTGTGTAGTACGCACCATCCTAATGAGGCAATAACAATTGCTAGGAGTAGAGGTCCATATCAACTCATGAGCAGATAATGGGAGAACAGAGTACAGAAACAGAAATGTGTAAATATTTGTGTAAATGGTGATATTAAATTGTTGCTGTCATTTGTATGTTACGGGGTTACATCCATGAACATCATTTTCTTTAAGCATGCTAAATGATATTGCTTTGTGTAAACTGGGGCCATTTGCAGAATATTGCAAACTCTGGCTTTTCCATTCACCAGATCGGGCTCTAATGCTAGTTTACTGACAAAAGTTGTTCTGTTGCTTTTCTAACTGTCATTAATTATTACAAGGCAGCTGCTCTCTCTTCAGAAACACAAAACATGATAAATTTCAGCTAAGTATTTTATTATCCCCAGGAAGAGTGAATAACACCTCTCTAACAAACCTGTTTGTTTACTGAAAATGAATGCAGACCCTTCAGGCATTCACAACTGAATAGCATAATAGGCTTGAGGTAATTAACAAAAACTAGTATTTAGTGAATGACAGGAGTCTCGTTGACCCACTGGCATTGACAGGAAGCTGATACTGAACAACAGATGAACAGAGCTGCTCCATTACAGCTCAATGCGCCATGTTGTGATGTCTGACTTGTCAGGTAGCCGGAGGGGGAGACACTGGAGATGACGCAGGGCAGGGGAGAGTGTTGGCTGGGTCAGATCTGCTGTACAACCCTTTGACTAACGGCGTGACTCAGTGCTGCTTTGGGCCTGGAAGGGAGCAAACTCACTGTTTGGTTTCATTTAAACATGAAATCAAAGAGGGTCAAACACAAAGCAGAAGGGGCAAAAGTCAGATTGGTTCAGGTATGTCAGAGCAACTCACGTGTTAATGCACAGACACACATAAGCATGCTGTATGTACACATACACAGAAGCAGCCACACACACACACACACACACACACACACACACACACACACACGAGCATAAGCTTTAGCACAATTCTAAATTCTTGTTATAAATTATTCTGGTTCACAACGTCATCAAATATTCATTACCTGTCAAAGTGCGAGAAAAGGCCTGTCTGGTAAATGCTTAACTCATAGAAAAGGTTTTTATTAGCATTTTAGATTTTTAGATCAGATTTTTTACAATGGCTTCGACATAATGATTATACACTTATACACTTGTCGCTCTCTTTCAGAAAATTATGAAAAAAGTATGTTGTATAGATACAAATAGAACACCTGCAACAGAGGCAAATGACAAATCACAACATCTGTAATGAAGCCTCTGATGCCAAAAAAACCTAATCATAAATTATCCTGACAGGTCTTAAACACATATACAAATGATAATTTCACTACAGAGCTAACAAGACCACATACACACAAAGACCCTGTGCATCTTTCATTCTTACCAACATGCACACACATACTGTACATTTTTCACTCCTCTTGGTCTTTTTCTGCCAGTGAGCATTGCTTTCCGACCAGTGACTACTCGCTCCTCTTAAGTGCACACATCTGACAAGGATGTGACTGCCTTTCCCCTTTCCTCCACTCCCCCCTAGTGTATCCATTCAACACTGCATCTTTCCTGTGCATCTCCCAAAAAGAGAGAGAGAGGGGGGGAGAGGCAGAGAGAGAGAGAGACCCCTCCTCCAGATGACATCAGCGCTCTATTGAAGCTAGAGGCAAACACAACTTCACATTAGTATTGAGATCTACCCTGTGCGCCGATTTCCTTGCACAGCCTACAGATTGTGTATGTGTGTGTAGGGGGGCACCAGTAAACATAGCAGTGCTTCTACAGATAAACTGCAAATAGCTCTAGCCTTGTGAGTGAGAGGAGCTTTTTTGGATCTGAATTTAAATCCGTATAGCCTGGATTGGATTATTATTTTTCCCCCGTTGTGAACCCCAATTTAAGAGGATACCTGTTACTTTCCATTTTTGGTTGATTATAGAGGTAAGTGCGTTTTTTGCTGGTACGGTCCTGTTGGGAATGCATCTTCTTTTTGGATCTTCTTTCTGGCTAAAGGAATTGAAAGTCATGCGGAATCCTCAAGAGTTGCTTGTATTTTATTAGTTGCCCTCTTTTTTCCCCTTCTTTTATTTTTTAAATTCTCGGCCCAGGCGTAAAATATTGGGTTTCTCTGAGTTGCTTGTGTCTCACAGATTTAAGCGACAGTAGAATGGTGGTGGTGGGGGGGGGGATTGTGAGTGCACTTTTCTTCCACATAACCAAATTAAGCTCTTCGATTGGTTTACGCACTGCAAGTCATTCAGCTCAGTTTGGCATTTAAAAACAGACTTATCCATCTCGTCATGGCAAGCCCCTCTCATGCCTGCAACTTGCTGCTTCGATCCTGCGCTGCGTCCCTCTTCATTCTGCATGTGTCCAGTGAAGACCACAAACGGCAGATCTCTGTTCTTGCTCGCGTTTTTCCTCTATCTAGATGGATTTCTTGTTGCGACAGGCGAAATTTGCTTCTTGATCACAGTCATATCCCGCCTCAGTACATTGGTCAAAACATGTGAAAAGCACTTAAGGGAGCAACAGGGACGTCTAAAATCTTTCCGTTCCTTATTTCAGCTTTTGATACTCCTAAACCAGTGGAGAAATAATCAGTGGCGAATACGCAAACTTGATAGGATTAGGGGAATGTGTGATTTAGTCACGGTGTCGCAGCCCGAGAAGACACCCCGGCGTGCAGCTGAAATTGCAGTTGCGGATCCCGCGGTGTTGGACATGAAGGGGCAGCTGGAGAAACTCCGCTAAATGCGTCTCCGGCGTCACTGTCTGGACAACAGACCAGCTCCTATTCATGTCCTACTCCATTGAAATGTACTGTGTGCAACTGTAAGCTTGCAGATGATATGGACGTCCCCCCTCCCTAAAAAAACAACAACACAGAAAACACACGATACGTTGTGAGAGCTTTATGATGGGGCGCAGTCATGAAGGTCCCCTGAAAAATGCACAAAATAGAACCCATTCAAGTTTCATACGCATCAGTTCGCACATAAGCAGCGGCTCATTTAACGCAGATAACATGCTGTAACGTTACATTAACAATGAGTCAAAACAAATATCTGACATTACAGTACAGTTGCAAGCTCTGTTGTGACTGTCGTATTAATACGCATCCAGAAATAAACGCGGTTTACAGTAAGATAATGACTTCTGCTCATATGGCCGACTGACAGCAGATTTTCCACTCTAATGTCAATCTATGATGCCAATGAATCAAAGCCCGCTGTTTCTTTCTCCATACAAACCTGATATTTATCCCATTATATCAATGCAATAAAGTGGTCGCCTTCAATCTTCTTTCAGCCTAATGTCTTGTGGGCAACACCAGGACATGGACAGTTGTTTTTTTTAACATAGGCTACATCTTTTTATCTTCAAGAAACATATAACATCACCCAGGTTTAAAACAATGAATGAAATAGTATATTTAGGCAACAGTCTGATTTCAGTAAATCACTGATAATGGCCTCAAACCTAACTTCAATTGTCAAGCAATGTAATGGTTGCTCTTTGTTGTCCAGCGTGTTTGAGAGACAAAGAAATAAATAGCCTGTTAAACATAGCAGACATGAGAACAGACCCAATTGTCTTCACTGATGACTGCCTGAGGCAAAAGTCCCCAGTCAGTTGCTTTCAGAGGGAATTCACATTGCAGATTAACAACTAACCAGGTCACTACAGACAGAATTTTCTATTGCCAGAAATCTTAAAGCATAAAATATGAATGAATGTGTTTGGAAAAAAAAGTAATAAGACTTTCATAACTTCCAAGACATATTTGAGATTCAACACAATTCTGAGGAGGCCCAATTCAGTTCTTTTCATAATTTATTTAGCTACTAAGCAACATCTATCCCAAGCTTTAAGAGACAAATCATTTCATATTGGTCACTAAAAGAGAAGGTGTAAACGTGGCCGCAAGGTATAAATACTGCAGGAAAACCTTTGCAAGCGATATGACTCAGGAAAAACTGTAGATAGCCCAGTAGGGAGGTTAACAAATCTCTGTATTGTAGGTAGGTGTCTGGCCTGTGCTGAGATGGGCTCCTGTGTGCAACTTAACATGAGTATTCAGTGTTTTTCTGTTTGCTTGTCACAAACAGACATACACAGACACATTTCATCTTGCAGTGCCTACCACCCCCATGTGGGGAAAAAACCACTGCAGCTGCTACAGATCTCTTCTTTCAGGCTGTTACAAAAGAGAGACCCCCGTCTGTCCCAGGCCTCTCTATGCTCCTAATGGGCCAGAAAAAGTATCATCTGTTCAGCCCATCTAAAGACAGCACCAGGAGGCCACATAACAAATCTGTGAAACTATCAAAGATTTTTGCCCATTTTCTCTTCGGCCGAAATGTGTTCTGTGTCCCTGTGAATTCAGATGTGACCATGAATGTTCCATTGTGTCTCAGGACCACAGCAGGCCACTGCCCGGTGTCTTGACATACAACTTACTAATAGGTAAATCAATGGAAGACACAAGGTTTCATGACACACAAAAATTAACAATAACCCATCTCGTTTAAAAACAGAAAATCAAGAAACAATAAATTTAAATACAAGAAAATACAAACGGACACTACATTTTGCCTTCATATCAGGTTAACTTCAACTGTTCTTCACTAAAATATCATACAGACATAAACAACTCATGTTCCTTTGAGGGTTTGCTTAAAACCTACGAACTTGCTGAGTAACATTGCAGGCAAAATGCATACAGACCAAAGTCTGAAAAAGAAATATAACCCACAATAATGACATTGTGTGCAATCAATCATAATTCAAAAGTATATTATAAATTAGAATGAATAATCAACAGCAGATACAAACAACATTGATTTCCCAATGGAGAGCTCTACCGTGGTTCAAAATTAATTTCAGGGCTCATGAATAATTCAACAGTCACCCATTACTACTTCTAGAGCTCTTCCCCTACTAAATGCAGCCTATGTAATATTATTCTGTATTTTACTGAACTAAAAGTCATTATAATCTGCAATACTTTTGACAGGCATGAAATTGTTTCTATTTGAGTTTTTCCAAAGCCTTTCTTGTGCCGTGTATGACTAGGGGGCACAAAGTCTTGGGTTCTGTTATTGCAGACTAATGTGCATTTATGCGTGTTGAGCTCACAATGGCTATCAGTGTCCAGCTTTGTGTAAGCCTCCCACGCTCTCCACTGAAAGGTAACTAGCTGTACACACACACACACACACACACACACACACACTTCTACCAGAATGCTCAATTTAACTTCGCCAGTTCAGATTAAATGAAGCAAAAGCCACGTTGACTGCTAGAGAAATCTCCTGTCGGCCGGCCGAGCTTATTAGAACGATGGAGAAAGACATCCATCACTAAAAATGTTTAACTCAGCCTCTATTGCTCTCAAAATGATTGTGTGAAAACATAGCATGTGTGTTTGTGTGAGTAGGGGTAGGGTATGAGTTAATTTATATATATATATATATATATATATATATTAGAGGAGTTTGCCTGAATAAAATGCTTTAATATGTAAACCTCCTCTGTTGAGGCTACAAGGTCCTCATGCTTGCCTTGTAGCGAACAATAGAGAGGGGCCACTCTCCTGAAATCCGATGAGCGTGGAAAAAGAAAAGGGAAAAATAGTCAAGCATCTAGGCCTGACTATGCTCCTCCTCGAGTAAGCATGATGTGCATGGTTCAAAGCGCAATATACAATATAACGTCACACTGAGGCCTACGATACATTATTCTACATAATGTTTTTGTTCTTTCTGACTATATTTACACTTGTGTTAAAATGAATAACCATGTCTCTTGTCCCTTCTACTCGACATTGAGTCTGATTCTGTTATCTCAGCAGGTAACAGAGTTGTAGTGGCCAATGAAAGGCAAATAACTGGAGATGTTGCCCCATATCATATATGGGGCTATTTATGTAGACAATCACCCTGTCTCACAACCCTAAAAGCCTATTATTCAGAGTGCAGATAGATTTAGCTGGGTTGCCTTGATAAGACAGAAATGTAGAGACTATTACTTTCTTTTATGTAACGCTAAGAATTCAAGGATCCAAATCAAGACTACGTACTTAACAATATTCAGAGGATGGAGAACTTTACAAAATGAGGTGAAAGGGGCTATTTAAAATTGAAATAGCTTGACTAAGTGCTGCATTAAAAGTTCATTCCAGCAGACAGACAGCACATATCCCTCTATCATCCCGCCATTTTCTAAAACTCCATTACTGAATTTCATCTTTTTTTCCCCCCCTTGTCAGACTCCTTTATTCCAGAAGTTAGTAGAGGTCACATCTGGTGCTTTTTCCCCAGACTCTAATCTACTACTAAATGTAATACTGGACTGAGGGGCCGTGTTTAGATGGAACAGAAGGAAGAAGGGAGGGGCGTTATTATTAGACAGCATCTCATGAGTTGTAATCGAGTTACAAGCCTCTCAATTCCCTAATCTTCTCCTTGTCATGGGCTACAACTGTTAAATGGCGGGGCCCCGTGTTCCTAATTTACCTTTACATGTTTTACAGCAAACACTGGCTGCCGGCAGGTCACAGGAATGGTTACATATAAGGACACAAAGCTATTGTGTTGTAAGAGGAAGCATAACATTTTCTTTGGCAAGGGAAATTATATTGTTACTTATAGAAAAAGCATTCATAGAATACAAAGAGAGGACGGGGTGGGGGTAAGGGGTCACCAAGAGGAGCCAAGAGTGACAGGTATAGATACAAAATTCAAATGGGCCTCATTTGTCATGAGTGATTTTCACAGTGAGTAATTCAACATGCAGTGAATGGATATGTTTTTCCTCTTGTGTGGAATATGTAAGAGTCTTGTTTTTAAACTAGCACAGACTGTATTTTTTTAATCACAGGACTAGTTCTCTTGTAAAACACGAAACGCTTAGCTAAGCAGTGAATTAGACTGAGAAGGGCAAAGGGGCTCCACCCTTAGCCATTGTGTTGGGGTCTAGATCACTGTTGTCTTTCGTATGCATAGACATTCTTTCTTGTATCACCATAGAAAAGAAATGTAGTCTGTTAGAGTAACGGGCTGTAAAAGGTCAACAGATTAAACCGTAGGCTAAGGAAAGGGTATTTTTATATAAGAATTCACAATGTAAGGGAGGTCAGAGTTGGGTATGAGAACCATTCCTACACTTAATTAGATTTCCCCAGTGTCAACATCTAGTTCACATAAGGTTTTATACTAAAGTTAGTGACTGAAATGAGTACTTGAAATGTACAGGGGAGTAGAGAATAATATATATTCCTAAATTGTTACCTGAAAAAAAAAAAGAACAATAAAAGTATTACTAACTAACTTAAATGCATAATACCTTTTTTTATCAATCGTCAAGGATTACTTACAACTTGTTACCTGATCTTTAAAACGTCCTATTGTACTATGACTGAATTTGGGCACTAAATGTGTTTGTCTCTGGTTATTTTTCATAGCACCACCCCAGGTGTGAGGAGAGCACAGTATGAGTCAAGCTGCAGATGCGTGAGGAAGGCTGTGACCAGAAGGATAAGCACCTTGCCCCGTTTTGCTCCTGAGAGGAAAGAAGAACATTGGTTATCTGCTTCAGGAGAAGGGACCAAAGCCCTGGATTAATGTGTATACAGGCTCAACAAGGGAGCAGAGGATTCTGGGTTACCTGAAGACCTGGAGTACACAAGTGAACAGACCTGGATTGAGCCCGTGGTACAGGGGATTGGCATGGCTCAGACCAGCTTTGTGTCAGCTCATCATGCCTGTCGGGCCTGATTGCAGAAAGGATCCTTTGCTAAAGCTCACCCTGTCCTACACACGGATCACTATACAACACCCAAAAAATCTCATTTGCAGTTATGGCTGGTGAGCTCAACAATTTCCACACCCATTAAGATTTTTAGTATTACCTGAGAGCGCATGCTTTGTCATTGAGAGGGGATGCTTTTTCTACAGGCTTATCTGCCATGGTAAAGGCAATGAAAGCATGAGCCTCTGACAACACAGAGGAGGTCATCGTCCAAACAAGGATCAGCTCAGCAAACAGTGAGCAGGTCAGGATATCACCAGAAACCCCTCGGACAAACTTTTCCTTTCAGAAAGGATAATAGCAAATTCAAGAGGAAATCTTGATTGGATTTTTGGTGGCAGGAAAGGATTTACCACATCGTATAAATCAGGTATGACAAATACAGATTGCTTTGCTTTTTTCCACTTCACTGACCAGACCACAATTTCTAATGAGACGTGCAGGAAGACAGGTCATGGCAGGAATTCATAATTAAAGCAATAAATCAGTATTAGCCTAATTAAAAGGTAACTACACATTGATAGTGAAAAAAAGAGACAGACAACTATTTGGCACCTTCTGCTTTGTACCATGGTTTTGTTAATATCAAGGCCATCTGCTCTAAGTTTATGAATTGTGAAATTTAATACCTTGGTTAAAAAAAATCTAAGCTGTACATTTTCTGAATTTTTAACATACCGAATTTACAGAGATCATTAACATAGTGCTGTGCAAGAACAAATAATGCTACAAATTTCATTTTCTAACCTTGTAAAACTCCTTAAAACATGTCCTGCTTGGGTCTTAATCTGAAAAGATGTAGCTAGATATTTCTTCTCTACCTAGTTAAACCCCAGAATTTGAATAGCTAAAGGCATGGGTAATGATCTAGCGGGACTTAAGAGTATATCAGTCCCACAACAGATCAACAACAAAGCCTGACTTTGTTCACCCTCGTGGTCTGTAGCGATGAAAGGCAGCCTTGAGATAGAAACGTGTAAAACAACTAGGGAAAGCTATTACATTTCACAAGTCAGGGCCAAAAAGCAGAGGCACAGAGATTCAATTCACAGAGCTCACAAGTTGGAACATTTCTTATAAAATTTTTTTACAAAAAGCAGTTCTATTTCTAAAGAAGGTTGCATTCCTTATCCTATGAAATCTATAGATGATGTAAAACCTGCTCTGGATAAAAAGTGTTTTGTAAAAAAAAAAAAAAAAAGTTTTCATTTTCACTGTCTGGCAATCCTAATGATCAGTTCATATCAATTTAATAGGAGGAATTCAAACTGATTATTTCAGCAGTTGTTTAATCTAGAAAGTGCTGCAGGCAGCATTTCAAACACCCTGCAATTATGAGAACAGGAATTTGGCTCTCCTTTAAAGGCCTTGTGCATTAAATGTACCCTTCTGTCTTCTCCCCAGGGGCTCTTGAGTGATTAGACTGCCAGGCAACACAGCTTCAAGATGGTACATCAATGCAAGGCCTTTATCCTCTTCCTCATAAGGGTCGGGCTGCTGCTGGGTCTTGCTAACCCCCTGGTGACCTCCACCTCATGTCCCTCAGCCTGCCGCTGTGATGGGACCTTCATCTACTGTAATGACCGTGGCCTGACTTCCATCCCCACTGGTCTACCCCAGGATGCTACAGTGCTGTTTCTGCAAAACAATCGCATCAAGAGTTCGGGTATTCCTGCAGAGCTCCGCAGGCTCTCAAATGTGGAGAAGATCTACCTTTACTGCAACAATCTGGATGAGTTCCCCACTAACCTTCCTCTTGGCCTAAAAGAGCTCCACCTTCAGGAGAACAACATTCGGATGATTACTCATGCCTCTTTAGCCCAAATTCCCTACATTGAGGAACTGCACCTGGATGATAACTCAGTATCAGCAGTCAGCATAGAGGAGGGGGCGTTCAGGGACAGTAATCACCTCAGACTGCTTTTTCTCTCCAGAAACCATCTTAGCACCATCCCTTTAGGCCTACCCATGAGCATTGAGGAGTTGCGCTTTGATGACAACCGCATCTCCTCCATCTCAGAGCAGTCGCTGCAAGATCTCATCAACCTGAAGCGACTAATCCTGGATGGTAACCTGCTCAACAACCGTGGGATTGGGGAGATGGCTTTAATCAACCTGATCAACCTGACTGAGCTCTCGCTAGTGAGAAACTCATTGACATCACCGCCAGCCAACTTACCAGGCAACAGTTTGGAGAAGCTGCAGCTACAAGATAATCACATTAATCGGGTCCCGCCTGGGGCTTTTGCCTTCCTTAGGCAGCTGTATCGCCTGGACCTGTCTGGCAACAACCTGAGCAGCCTCCCTCAGGGTGTGTTTGAAGATCTGGACAATCTCACACAGCTCCTGCTACGCAACAACCCATGGCAATGCACTTGCAGGATGAAATGGGTGCGTGATTGGCTGCGGTCGTTGCCATCTAAAGTGAATGTACGTGGCTTCATGTGCCAGGGTCCTGATAAGGTGAAAGGCATGGCGATTAAAGACCTAACTACAGACATGTTTGAATGCACAGATTCAGAACTCCCCACGTATGAGACAAGCACAGTCTCCAACACTGTGCGTCCCTCACAGCCCCAGTGGCCCTCATTTGTGACTAGAAGGCCTGTAGTAAAAGGGCCTGACATCGGTAAGAAATACCACAGCACTACCACCACTTCAGGCAGAAAGATCCTCACCATCAGTGTGAAGTCAAGTAGTGCAGATACAATACACATATCATGGAGGGTGTCACAGCCAATGACTGCCCTACGGCTCAGCTGGCTAAAGCTGGGACACAGTCCTGCATTTGGATCCATCACTGAGACCATTGTGCAGGGAGAGAGGACGGAGTACCTGCTCACTGCGCTGGAGCCAGAGTCTTCCTATAGGATATGCATGGTTCCCATGGAGACCAACAACATTTACCTGTCAGATGAGACCCCCGTTTGCATAGAGACAGAGACTGGTTCTCACAAACCATACAACCCGACCACGACTTTAAACAGAGAGCAGGAGAAAGAGCCTTACAAAAATTCCAGTCTGCCTTTGGCTGCTATCATTGGAGGGGCTGTGGCTCTATTGGCAATAATCATGTTGGCACTGGTGTGTTGGTATGTCCACAGGAATGGTTCACTTTTTTCCAGGAACTGCACCTACAACAAAGGCCGTCGGAGAAAGGATGACTATGCTGAGGCTGGCACTAAGAAGGACAACTCCATCCTAGAAATACGAGAGACTTCTTTTCAAATGATACCTATAAATCACCTACCTGTGTCCAAGGAGGAGTTTGTGATACACACAATTTTCCCACCTAATGGCCTGAGTTTATACAAAAGCCCACATAGCGAGAACAGTATTAACAACAGGAGCTACAGAGACAGTGGAATACCAGATTCAGACCATTCCCATTCATGATATTGCGCAGGCCATTCATGATGAGTGTGTGACTTAAACAGAGTGGCAAGACTTTCACAAAACACTGGATCTATAAGACTAAGGAAGCAATGTTCTGTACATTTGCCATATAATTTATATTTAAGGACATTTTATGAAGACAGAGAACGTCCGAGTTACAGGCCATCACTGAACCAACAGTGGGTATTGTAACTAACTGCAATTCTATATTTTAGGGTTTTGTAGTAATTTGTACTGTATTTCCTTTGCTTAAGGTTATCGACCAACTAAAAGAAACTCTGTGTTCTACTGAGATGACTTGTCAACTGTGAAAGTGGGTTTTCATTGCTGTGTTGAACAATCAGACCTTAGAAAACCTTGTAGTATAAGCACAGGTCATTCTTTTAACTTTGTGGCTGTCTGAAAAACAAAAAGGCAAAAAAATGACATGAAGTAAACTAAGGCACAGCTGATCAACTAATTCGCAAAGCAGGCATGTTGCCCTCTAAAACAATGTGCAGTCAGTAGCTGTCTCCACATACAACGGACCGAGAGACTTGCTCTAGTATTCATCTGGTATGAAGTACGAATAACTAAAGATGAGGTGCCATGCTTTATTTCTCTGCTTGTTCAGTGTGTGATATATATATTTTTTTGTTTGCAAGAAGAAGAAACACAGCAAGAGAACCCAAGCAGGGTTCCAGTGTTTCTGATAGGATTGTAGGCCACAGCACAGGGCAGATAAAGCACATCGACCTTAAGGAGTTCTCTACTCCTCAAAACAAGTAGACTGGACAGGCTGACACAGAGGACCCCCCACTATCTCTATTTGTACAAGCCAACAATGGCCAAACGACAATGGCGGCATTCTTTAGTACCATGTACATACGTCATTCTAGTCACCAGGCCAAAAAGACAAAACATGTTGGCTTTTAGAATTACCACAGTGTCAGCAACTCCTCGTTATGAGTATTATTTTGTATTATTTTCCAAATGAACACACTCTTACGTTTCCACAATTTGAAGTTAACTGTTCTTAACAATTAAAAACCAAAGTGCATTGTATGCCCTTTGGCCAGTCTTGTATGTGCCTTGATCCAATGCTTATTGTATTTAGCTTTTTAAGAAACCAGTGACTTTTTTTCATACACACTTGAATATGAAAATATTGGTCATATTACAGAATAAAAGTGGACAAAAATAACTTTGCTCTTCCTTACCTTGAGTACAACAAACCCCATTTAAAATAATACTTTGATTTTTTATTGTTCTGTTCAATTACTATTATCAAATCATGGTCTGCTGAGATTGCTCAATTAATTTGTTTCTACTCAAGAGAATTCTATCTTCATACAAATGTGAGCTGCCCTGGAGTAACAAGGAAGGCTACAGGGGACCTGTATTATTCATTCATATTTCAAATTACTGTCTAGGCACACAATCTAAAATGCTTGGAGATAAAAAAAAAAAAAAAAAAAACATACCCTAATGCATTTTTATCATTCACAAATATCTGAACTCTCTCGTCTTAGCTCACAGCCTTAAAACCACAGCTCCCCTTCTAAGACACAGTGAACTCCTTAACAATAACTCAGATACTGTTCTTGAAACCCAGTTTTCCACTCCATGGGCAGTCTGTAGAGCAACATCTGCTTGAGGCTGCAGTTGCTCTTTCATGCGGTGAAGCCATGTGTGATTTATCCGATTGGCCAGAGAGAGAAATGTCACAGTAGAGTAGAAATAGGGCTGTGGAGAGATTGGACTCTAGGGTTTGATGAACTTCACAGGCACCAGGGCAACTGAAAACTAATGACGAGCCACCATATGGAGGGTGGTACAGGCAGACCCTGATGGGAATGCCCGTCCCCGCAGAGGACAGAGTATATATACACTACTCTCGGCTCCAGGCATCACACTTAATGACATGGTTACAGCTTACCCGGACTAGGGCCCATCAAATAGTTAAACAGTAAAATAGCCTATTAGCCTATTTTACACATGCATCCAACAGAATATCTTGTGAAAGCCAATTAAAGTTAATGCATTTAAATTATACTTGCTAGACTCTAGCATTGACCATACTCAAAAAACAAAAGCCAAAAAAGTATTCAGTATGCATCACAAAAAATATTGCATACCCACATTCACACACCCACAAGCTCTTAACACAGTGAAAGCTTTAATTACAGTAAGGGGAGCCGCTAAAAGCTGCACAAGCTATCCAAACCTTAAGTTCACACTAACCCTGCCCTTTACACTAAATATATATCACACTGACTTGCAAAGTCAACAGTAAACAGACAGTCTACTTTTAGAATGCTGAATAGTAATAGTTTCCACATGAATGCGGTCAATAGTTTTTTTGTACTTTGACTGTTCAGCCATAGTCCTATCTTATTTGACTAAAGAAAAAAGAAAAACTACATGATAAAACCTTGCAACACACTATATTCACATTTTATGCTGACCTACAAAAGCATAAAAGAAACAATATAATGTGCTATGATCTGTTTTTAAGTAAATTAAACCAAACAAAAAGTTGTACAGTTTTCTCATTGGTATTATTGGCCTAGCAGTATATGTGTAAGAGGAGATCTCAGCTGGCCTCACAGTTTCAGCTTCTCCCTGATGAATGAGGCAGCTCTACAAATGTTGAGAAATGAAAAAGGGCTCTGCCGCTTGAGCAGTGTCCATATGTCTAGTAATTGCTAGAACCTCTCAAAAAGTGTTATTTTTGAGCCAGAAAGACTACAAACATAGTATATCAATGAGATCACTAAAATTTCTTTAGCAGGAACAGTAATCTTTTATGTGTTACTGATTAGCTTTTGGTATTAAGTAAATTACTCACACAGGTTTGTAGCGGACCACTTTAAAGCTCTGAGAATGAGCAAGCCGCTCTCACATTTTCTCTCACCTGTGTGATAAATTACAGTTAAGCCAAATGGTGAAAGCAGCATTCTTTTGTTGTGACTTTCACTAAAAATAATACATTAACCAGAGCAGCTTTGTGCATTTTGGCTTTCCCAAGTATAAGGCAAAATTGATGATCCAGACTGCTGACAACCCTGCGTGACCTCACTTATCACTCATGACCCTTAACCCATGTGTCCTTTTAAACAATTCCTTAATCACTCTCATGTTCTCACTGAGGTCAGACAAGTCTTTAAACAACACATGATGCCACATGCATTTGTCTCCTGTGTGACACACACAGAAGCTAATTATGTTTGTCTTTTATGTAACCCAGAGTTTAAAGCTAATGGGGGCAGCTGCACTGTCTGCCCCAGGCTGCTGTTATTCCTATTGTTATGGTACTGGTCAGGCAGTCAGTCACATTTGCATTCCTATAGATGCTCTTATCAAAGCGCCCTTGGATGACCTCACCATTGCCAATGGCTAGGCATGGTTCTTCTCCATCAGCACCATTAGTAAGATCAAAAAAGCACAGGCCATGTGACCCTAGGACTGATTAGAGGTCATTGAGGTAAGGTCAGACTCAGTTCAAGGATCTCAAGAGATGAAAAATGGATGAATATCAGTGCCCACAAGACATTGCCAGTCATCAGGGACTCTAATAGGCAACCTGTCCACCATATGCATGCTCTGTTTTGGAGAGACCCCCTAGCGTTCATATCAGGGCATTCTTAGCAGGGACGCCAGAAATTATGGGGAAAAACACTAAGAAGAAAAGGTCAAATGTTTAGCTAATGGCTGAATTCCCCTCAGAGCCATACAAAGGCTCACAGCATAAAGTTAAAACCATGCGTTAATACAGAGGAGACCAATTTGATTTTTTTAATTTGCCATTTTAAAATGAGATGGTTTATCAACATGATTAGGCATGCTAGACTAGGGCGCCTTACTAAATTCTACAAAACAAGATAAATTGCTAAGACTTGACACAAGGGTGACACAAATCAACAGCAATGTGTCAGCATGAAGGAATAATCAAAGTTCAATAGTCTGGTCACATACTACTTAATGGTAGTAATGTACAGTCAAATGGGATGTCTTGCAGCACCTCGGCATATTGAACATTTTGTTCTAAAAAAAAAATATTACCCAGGAAAAAAGCCCCTTGTTATTAAACTCTTGTTAAAAAGTGTGCTTCATCAGTACATAGTCTGGTATTCCAAAAACAACCACATATTCAAAGCAAAAACAAAGGGGCGCTTGCTTTTCCCTCATATCCTATTGCACACAGCTTGCACATCAAACAGACCCATGATTTAATGGACTCTAAATGCTGAGCAGAGTGGTGCTGGGGTCAGAAACCAAACCAAGGCTCAGGGCCTCCCAGAAAGTCTGCACTTCTGCCAATCTGTAAAATGTGTGTGTGTGTTCATGTGTATGAGGTATAAAAAAGACAAGAAAACTGTGAATGTTGATGTTCAAATTTGCTGTTATTAATGCAAACATGCTTGTGAATGTCTGGCTGTGGTCATGGAGATACACACAAATGAGTATCTATGACGGGAAATGCAGAATCCTCAAAGGCATATAAAACAAAGACCACTTTTACTGTCATTTGACTATTCCTGTACCTGACAGGATGTTTTTGATTTTCAAGCCATCTTCATCACCCATTCATGATTGCATTTGACAATATGAGGCTCATGCTTACCCAGGCGAATGTCCGCATGAGTGAGTATGCTTTGTCTTCTTATGTGTAATTATGAACATTATAGTGGTTATGATTACTTGTACTTTCATGGGAACCAGTGCATATTGTTCACACATCTAAACGAACACAAACAGACAATCATACTGATTGGTATGCATGCAAGCAGAATAACCTCAAGCCATCACATCCCTTCCTTAAAATTGTCCCAAGACTGTCATGTGACTTTGTTGCTCTCAGTCACAAGCACAGCCTGTTCTAGCTGTAAAAGAGCGGAGGGGAGAAAACAGTGTGTCCGCTGAGAGACGTGTCAGTGTGAGTGATGTGCTCCTGTGTGGGGGGTGTTGTCCTCTCCACTCTGTCTCTGACCAGCTCCCATCTACCACCCTCCAGGCCAAGACCCTCTCCATCTCCTCACATTACTCAATGACCTGAAACCACAGGGCCAAAAAACCTAACCAGCTCCTCAGTCTTCTTAATGAATCCAATTTTTTGCCTGAGAGCACAAGGCGTGCACATACATCCATCGCAACTCTAAATTATCTGACATTAATACAAATTAACAAGAGCCATCGCCATCAAGACTGTGCCACCCCACAATGGACAATGACAACACATCTATATTACTATATGAAGATAGCAACTTATTCTATAGTCAATAATCTCATTTAAAAACAGGCTATAACAAAAACAAAAGCAGAGGGGCTGATTGGTGTTGGTGCCATTGCACTATGAATTATACACAATATGTTATGAAAATATCCATATAATTGACTCTGCTCTATGGCAGCCATTAATTCCTGTCCTCCATTAAGTGGTTTAAATGATCTTGTAAGAGGCCATACATCTCCTGATGCCCTTTATGAGATCAACACCACGTCTCCCTTGGAACTTAATCGACCCTCAGTCCCATTTGTCCATGAAGTCTGATGCAGAGGAATAATTATTTCATTCCTAAAGGTTCTAAGGGGTCCAACTTGTCCATTACCCCCAGTAGATCTGCAGCTCTGCAGTGGGAGGCCAAAGCTCCTCTTCGATCCATTCTCTTCTCTCATTTATGTTAAGCCAGCTTTAAATGTCAGTACAGTATTTGCATGCCAATGTGGCTATGTCTGCAGCTCATTATTTTCAGATGTTGACAGCCTAATCGCATGCAAGTTTAGACCACTTTGCTAACCTAATGCGTGCTACAGCCAAGACATACTGAATAACAAGCCAAGGTGTGTAACTGCAGTGTTCATCTGCAGCTGTCTTATTCATTTCTGGTGGGAAACCAACAGAAAATGCAGCAACCTTGCATACTCGGTTCATCAGTAATGACAAGAAACGTTCCACACTGTCCATCAAACAGCATGGTTTTAACCAAGTCTACTAAATAACATTTGCGTAACAAGAAGGCCAATATTAATTACATCAATTATATGCTGAGGCTTCTCCCACTCATACACCTAACAATGTCTTCCAAGATGTTGGGAGATTAAGCAGGGCCAAACTCCTCATCAGGTCGGATATTACCTTTTTGACAGATTGACCTTCAGGCAAGAGCTTAGTCCATCTCTCCAGAGAAGTCCATCATGCCACTCATTCACTCAGACAGCAGCTCCTCCACACCTTAGCTGGAGCTAACACATAGACATTTGCTCAAGGGTAGCAATGTTTTGGTACTTCTCCAAGAAGTGCAGAATTCAGCAGTGTCAGCACCTTTTAGGATTGTAAATACAACCTGTCACCATTCATCAGGGCACCAGAAGGAGAACACAGACACTTCAAGGCCTCATTATTTCGCTGTCCTCAAGCACCTCGACATAAGATCTCTGCAGTGCAGCAAAGGGGTAACATCCATGACCCAGTGTAGGCCAACCACCACAA